ACATAGAAAGAATTTGTTTATATTGGCATTAAGATATTGTCATCCTCATCGTTCTTTTTCAATAACCATTGACTGATAATTGCCTCTGGAATTTTTCCTAACATTCTAAATATGAAAAATGGATCTTGCATTTTAAATATTCTAAACTTTGTACTTGGGAAGCTGGTGTTTGAATATCTGGAATTATTTTGTGACCATACTTGAAATGGATGCATGCAAATCTGCTTTGGCTCTAATGTACACTTTTAAAATAGAAACAAAAACATGAAGAAACAACATGGAGCAGTTTCTGCTTTCTCTTCTGCCATCTTTTGATGACCTTAAATATTTGTACAGAATAATCTGTCATTTAGATGTGACATTACACCTTCATTCCTCTCTGGAGGGGGGAATATCTGAGGAAAAATAGCATTATAAATTACAAATCCTGCCCATAACAACATGAAGATTGATGCATTTGTTTCAACTTATTTAAACACACTCTTTGAATGTCATCTGGAGAGATGCAGAATTTCGGTTTTGGATTACAATGGCCAGAACTTCCAAGGCAGAAGGGCCACAGGAAGTTTTACTCTGGAAAGTGTGGTACAGAAATACAAATCTGCACACTTTTACTTGAAACTTTTATTGCTATGGCTATAAATATGAATATGATAATATACTTGTTTTTTCTTTTGGAACTGCTTTCTGTGATGAAGAAATTGAGTTGGCAGAATAGAAAGAAATCCCGCTACTGTCTATTGTGCATTACTTGGTCATTTTCACTGGATTATCTTCCCTTTTTTCATACATAACTGGTTTGCACTGTTTCAAACCCCAGTATTATCACACAATTTTGAATCAGAGAACTAAAAGCTGTAACTTAGCATATGCCTGTTTTCAGCCAGTCACAACATGCCAGTATTTTCTCATGTATGTAAATGACAATAAAGGAATTTGAAAAGACCAAGGACTTTCTCATTTTCATAAGTCTTTTCTCTCCCTAGTAAACAAATAAGTACGTCGGTTTGCAGATCAACCACCTTTGGGGGCTCCCCAGTTAGACGGTCAAAAATGCCACACTTGCCTCTTTGAAAGATGGGATGCTTGCAAGATGAGGCTTTGATTGTACAATCACCCACTTCTAATTAAAGATCCAGAGCTCTTCCCCTTGAAACTGTCATGGCCTTCTTTCTGAGCTTTTTGCCTTCCACAAAATAATCCACTGAGAATACGGAGTAGCTGCTCAATAGCTTTGGAACTGATAACACTGGTAGTTGAGGATCTATGACCTGGATTGGCAATAGCGGTCTCCCAGATGTTCTTGGACTGATGCTTCCATACTTTCTCACCATTAGTTATGCTGACTAGGGCTGATGAAGTTGCAGCCCAAGAAATTCTGAAAGGCCATAGCTGAGTCCCCCGCTGGCTGATTTAGAAGCATCAGCAAATTGGCCACAGTTATATATCTTATTCAGTTATACACAGCTGCAGGGGTGTCATCTGTATTTCCTTACCTGCCTGACCTTGGTGAAGCTAAAAAGGTGTACACCTGGTTTGTGTCTAGATGAAAGACTGGCCAGCAACAGGACTGGATACTGCCTTGTAAGTTCCGTAAGTGACAGAAAGTGGAAAGCATGTCAATATGTCTATCAGTATTTACATGCATTCTTGGGTCATATTCACATACCAGGCTTAGCCAATGTCTGGAGGACATGCATGTGGTCCCCAACCTTGGGCCTCTAGATATTCTTGGACTACAACTCCCAGAAGCCTTCACAACCACCTCTGCTGGCCAGGATTTCTGGGAGTTGAAGTCCAAGAACATCTGGAGGCCCAAACGTTGGGGAGCGCTGCCCTAGAGGACATGATTCCACAATCCTTCAGGGGTTTGGCATTTTGTTGCATAAAGAAAGTACTGCCTTGGCAGAGAGAGTGAAGTGAAATGGATTCCCTTTATGCAGAAACAATGCCGGTCTAGACAGCTTCTGTGGTTTCAGTCCCTAAATAACAAACAGCAATAATAAAGCAGAAGACGTACAGATGCTGTACTATGACTTTTCAGATTCCAAAATTTGGGGTTTTTGAATGGAATGATAGAGGACTCATGGAATGATAGAGGCTGGAATGATAGAGGACTCATCCCCTTTTCCATTTGTAGCCCAGATATGGGCTTGACTCTCTTTGACTTGCACCACAAAATGAAAATGGCTATAACCTTTTTGTTTTTCCACTCATGTACTGTATATGAAATTTGGTGACCTGACAGACTCTGAAGAAGGGTTTGAGGGTTTCCATAGTAACCACATTTAAAGTGTACTTTCCCTCCCCCAAGAAAAAAGTGGGCTAAGGTGATTTGCCTCCAAATTTATTTATTTATTTATTTGATTTGTATCCCCCCCCATCTGGTCTATTCGACCACTCTGAGCGGCTTCCAATATAATATAAACAATTGATAAAAACACATAGTTATATAAATTTTCAAAGGAAAATGTGAAAAACAAGAAAATAGAATAAAGATAAATAAAGGAGAAATGAGAAGAGAGAATCAAATATTGACTGGAGGGAAGGCCTGAATAAACATCCATGTTTTTAATTGGCTTTTAAAGATACCCGCGCGAATCTCTGGAGGGAGTTTGTTCCAGAGGCGAGGAGCCACTGCCAAGAAGGCCCGATTTCGTGTCTTTTCCTTCCGGGCCTCTCTCGGCATCAGGCTCCTCAACCTCACCTCCTGACTTGCATAGGTAATCCAGGTAGAGCTTGGTGGGAGTAGGCATTCTGCCAAATATCAAGGCCCTAAACTGTTAGGGCCTTATAGGTAAGCATTAAGACTTTGAAGTCGATGCAGAAACGAATGGGCAGCCAATGCAGTGCAGCCAGAGTAGGAGAAATATGTTGGTATTTTCTCACTCCACTAAGGAGTCTGGCCGCCGCATTCTGCACCACCTGAAGTTTCCGCATCAGCCTCAAAGGCAGCCCCACGTAGAGCGCGTTACAGTGGTCTAATCTTGAGATTACGAGCGCATGGACCAAGGTAGTGAGCGCCCCCGTATTGAGGTAGAGCCGCAGCCAGGCAATCCGCCAGAGATGGAAAAAGGCGGTACGGACTACCGACACCATCTGCGTTTCCATAGTGAGCGCCAGGTCCAGATGGATCCCCAAGCTGCGAACCCCCCTCTTAGCGGTCAAGGTCCCCCCCCCAAATGAGAGTCACCCAAGCCGCCGACCACAGGGCCACCCACCCTCAGACCCTCCGTCTTGTCCGGGTTCAATCTCAGCCCATTTTCCTGCATCCACTGCAGTACGGCCCCCAGGCAGCGCTGGGGGGACAGGACAGCATCACCTGCAGTTGGTAAAAAGGAGATGTAGAGCTGGGTGTCATCAGCATACTGATGACACGAGGCTCCACACCCCCTGATGACCCCACCCAGCGGTCTCATATAGATGTTAAACAGCATTGGGGAGATAATCGACCCCTGTGGGACCCCGCAATTGAGATTCCATGGGGCCGAGACATTCTCCCCAAGCTATACTCTCTGGGGTCGGTCCTCCAGGAAGGAGCTGAGCCAGGCAAGGGCCGAGCCACCAATTCCCCACTCAGAGAGCCTCCCCAGGAGGATACCGTGGTCGATGGTATCAAAGGCCGCTGAGATGTCGAGGAGGACCAACAGAGATGTTTTGCCCCTGTCGGCCTCCCTCAACAGGTCATCGTACAGGGTGACCAATGCCGCCTCTGTACCGTGGCGCAGCTTGAAGTCTGACTGAAATGGATCAAATGACTCAAATTGTACTACACACTCAAATCAGCTGGTTAATTTGCTTCACTTTAACCCCGAACCAAACCTGTGTGTTGGTCCAAATCAGACCAATTGGACTAATCATTCAGGTTCTGATCAAATCTAGTGCACACCTCAAACTAGCCCAGTGTTATCTAAATACTGGCTCATATAGGTTACGACTGCCCTCCCCTGGTTGTCTTGTGTAAATGGTTTAACTTTAGTTTGGGTGATGTTTGTACTGGTTGCTGTTTATCCAGTCATAGTTTATTTCAATTATGTGTCGTGTGCACTGAGATGTACTAAGATTTTGGCATCTCCTAAGGGCTATTTTCATATTTGGTAATTTATTTTCAAAAATTTTAATTTCCCCCTATTTTCTGTTTTTAAGGTTATATCCCTTTGTCCTAGAGTAAGCTTTACCAGGCCGTTCACTGTCGTTCAAACTCACATTTCCCACTTCCAGGATTACAGTTATCACACCTTTAATCATTTAATACTGTATTTATACAGAAATCAGACTTTGACATTGCCCCCTGGGTTCAGAATCAAGTCGTTTACAGGCAGTTTACTACATTCGCCTTGTATTTTAAAAAATAAATAAAAACTACTTTTTTTTGGCCACAGGCAGAGGGCAACACACAAGAGGATTCAAAGTACCTTCCATGTCCTTATTTGTGTTTGTTATGTGCCTTCAAAGTCGGAACCGACAGATAGTAACCCAAATGGGGTTTTTTAAGGGTAAGGGAAATATTTAAGGAGTGCCTTTAACCCAGTTCCACACCCCCAGGAAATTCTCTTGACCGAGTGGGGATTCGAACCCAGCGCCCCCTGGAATACTAGACCGTCACTCTACCCGTAATTACACCACACTGGGTATCTATATTTCCTCTTTTAATCGGGGCTGACGTCTAACATCCCATCATTTCACATGAGAACCATCGCCGCCACAATCCTCCAATCGGATTTTGTTTTTGCTCTGCATCCCTCGGTGGTCCTTTTCAAAGAGGCTCATCCTTACGAGAGCAAGATGATTGGCTCTTTCGGGCCACTCGATCAGCATATTCAAATTTTGCCCCTCTAGCTGTCCAGTTGAATAAGACTAGAAGGGCGGAGTAATAGAGCCATGAAGTACCATTGGTTGAAGTCGGCTCTCGCTCGAGTGCACATCCGAGCCTTCCATTGGTCAGGTTGCGCTGGCATTCAGCAACGAAAGCTCCGCCCTTTGGGGTGTCCTCGTCTTCCTCCGCCTCGCCGGCTTCATTCACGCCTGGGGTCTCCAAGGGGGAAGGCGGGCGTGTGGCGCGGAGAGCGTGTGGGGCGAGGGCATAGCATCACGTAAGGAAATCCGTACAACAAAGAGCTCGAGGTGGCGACCGCAGCTCCTTGCCCGGTAATTATTTCGTACGTTTCTCAGAGTTATAGTGACTGCTTTTTTAGGGTTGTCTTTTATAGCCTTAATTGAGTTGGGTTTTATTTTCTTATTCTTCCTAGAAACAGGAATGTAACGCCTCTAAGACTAACTAGCGTTTATTTTGCATCGGCTTTCGCGTGTCTGAGCACACTTCTTCAGATAACACATGGAAGGCTTAGGAGAAATAAAAACAAAACCTCGTTAGTCTTATAGGCACCCCGTTTCTGTTCCTAGTATGAATTATTTTCTTCCTCTTTCATTTTGCCTTTGGTAATACTTTTCCCTAACCTCTCTTCTGGACACACACAAATATAAAAATGTATACTGTTTCTGTAATTAAACTGTAATCCAGACTGGTTTTGATAATAATAAAAATAGTCATGGCAGCAGCTACAGGATGTAGCACTTGTTTAAAATGGTAATTCGCTTATATGATGCTTTACTTTTATACAGACTCTGGTTGCTTCTGGGTAGGCCCCATATACAATAATGTAGGATGCTGGTGAAATCTTACAGTTTTAAGTAAATGTAAAGCATCCATACATAGGAATGATCATCTCCTGTGTATTTCATTTGCTTTGAAGGCCTCTACAGAGTGACTGGTCCTTGTATTAAATCAGATGTACACTGATTTTTTGTCAGGGTGGGGGGAATTACTCTTTCCCGTTATCAGCATCATACGGATTTGTTTTCAAATCTCCTTTTCTAAATGATTACTTTGGGAAGGGAGACAGACTATTCTTGTAAGGCAGCTTGCTAATACCTGGCGCAGTTCCTCAGTATTTGAAGAAGACTGTGAATATCTGATTTGAAGACGACAAGTTGAATTGAGCATATCTGTGGCTGTGAGTCTTTTAAAATAATTTTGCTGAATTGAATTAAAAAAGGGGAAATCCATTATTTTCTCGTAAATAGAGAAACAGTTACATGAACAGGCTGCAAAAGTGAAAGTCAACTCGGCTTTCGATTTAAAGGCAGGAAAGAGTCGCTCTTAAACTTTAAAAGTGTTGTTGTGAACTTCCTTGCTCATTTCTGCAGATCAAGCCCTCAGCTAGCTGTTTCCTGTGTCGGCTCCTGCATGGCCTGAAATGAACTTTCATCTCAGCCGTAAACCAAGAAGTAGTTTCAAACTGGGAAAACCCAACGTTTTCATTTTGCTGTGCTGCTTTTAGTCAAGGATTTGCTTTTGGAGTAGCTTTTAACAAAAAAAAAAAAAGCCTCCAAGTCCTATTGCTTCTAACAGCAAAGAGGGAAAGAGAGAGAAAGCACAGCCAGAAATTGGCACGGTGGGCCATGGCTGAGGAGGGGGGAAAAATTAACCACATGTATAAGCATGAAATGTGGCTCATATTTATCTGATCCTTCCTGTTCGTATAGTAATAACTATAATAACGACTTACGATTGTCCTGTAGTGACTTATTTTGGCGCATTGACTGTAGCGCATTAGGACGCTATGCTTCACCTCAGTTGGCTAAGGTACATTTAGGTTGCAGTGGAATATCATCAATCCAGCTGGCATGGGTTCTGCGTGACTTGCTTTATTCGAGGGAGACATTGGAAGTTACCTTGCGCCAGTTCAGATCACTTGTGCGTGACATTTTCAGTTTCGATCAGCAGTGGCTCTCTAAGGTCTCATACGGCAGATCTTTCACATAATTTGAAATCTTTGAATGTGCAAGAGATCGAATCTGCATGCAAGCTCTGTGCTAGGGTGTGGCCTTGCTGTATGATCAGGAAGAAATTTCCCACCATAAAAGGTGGGATGAAAATTCTGATATTTTGTGTGGTGTCCTTATAATATCCCCTTGACTCACTTGCTAGAGCTAACTACCGTACATGCAATCTTCTGAAGGATGCCTAATCTAACCTGCTTGTGTTATATATACAGCATCTGGGTTGGTCTGTTTGCAAGCCCTTGCCTCATGCAGGATTTGGCCCTGTCAATCTTTATTGCAAACCTGCATGATGTTGGGCTCCACCAACCTTGACTGCAGTTTGCTTCCATACACAATGGCTTCATAAGTTACCTGTTTTAGAAGCCTGTTTAAAACCAGGAAAATCTTCAAGCACCTAACAAGCCACACATTATGTGGTTGTAGGAAGGAGTTGGTCACAAGTTTATTTATTAATATAAACAAATCACATTTTGTCCTTTTGGTGCTTATGCAGTTGTTGGCACAGCTAAGAATGATTGAAATCCGTAAAAGAATATGACAAGATTTCCATCTAGTGATGTTTTGGAAATATCTGTAAGAGATAAAATCAAATCATGAGGTAAACCTTTCTTACCTAATCAAATAAACTGCTGTCTAAACAAGAAGGTGCAGTAAATTGTTCTCAAAAAGGTTTCCAGTTTACCCTTATGAATCACAGGATTCTATAATTTCAGTGCCACAACTGTGAAGACCCTTAGTTTTATTTCCAGTCAGTAACACATCCACCATAGCTTGGTCACAGAGAATAATCTAACAATAAGATGTTATTGCTATCGGAAAAAGCACTAATGTATCTAGAATGCCTTTGACTTAAACCTTTTAGGATTTTCAAGGTTGTCACCAGCACTTTGAATTGTGTCTGGAAATAAATTCATTGCAACCTGTGCAGCCTATAGGCATGATATGATCCTGTAAGAAAGCACCCATCAACATTTTTGCTGCTGTGTTCTGACCATGTGCTGTTCGAAAGACTTTTCGGAGAGAACCCAGTGGAAAACCTTATTGCTGCAACCTGTCCAGACAAACAAGCCAGTGTGTGCATAATCCATCCGCTACTTGTCTTCCTCTTGAGTTTGCAGCTTTTGCAACAGCTTTGTAAAACAACCACAGCATCACAGACCAATTACACACAGTTTGTGTGTTATATTATCACATAACAACCACTTACCAAAGCATGCTGCAGATTTTTCTTCTTGTTTATAGGTAAACAAACTAGGGAAGGTTAGCCTAGTGCAGTTATGGGTAACTAATTGCCGTCCAGTTATTGTCAGGTGATGATCTGTTGCACTAAAACAGGCCAGGATTTATGTGTCAACACCAGATTCTGATTGAGAATGGTGTTATACTCCCGGATTGCATCCTAAAAGCCGGCTTTTTTCTAGTTCCCATGGGCGTTTCTTAGTTTCCTTGTGGTCATCTCTTGCTCACCACTGAACATCAAGCAAGGAGGTGCGGACAAGTCAGAACTTGGGGCAGCTTAGAATGTGCATAGTTTTGTGTCACTGTTGTGCTATTTCTTTGACTCTCCTTTTCCTATAACAACACCCAAGAAAGCATCCGTATCCAGAAAGATAAATTAAAAATGAACAGTAACTCTTTATAGTTTATGGTATAAAATCACTATAAAATTGTACCTGCCTTCTGCATATTGATGTTTGCCATATTTCTGATGTGGCCTTCAGTTTCATACAAGATACAAATTCCAGGATTAAGATCTTGATTAGAAAATCGCGTGGCAATGACTTTGTGTTTTCTCTTCTGCAAAATGAAGATCTGAAGACACGGCTTTCCCTGAACGTCATGAGTCCATTAACTTCAAGGGTGCTGAAGGGTCCTATCCTGCTGCAGGCACCATTGAAGGAACGTTCTTCAGAAGCGCTTTTAAATTCAGTCCAAGAACCGTTGGATCTTACGCACAAAACATTTTAGAAAAGATTATACGTGTATTATATATACATATGAATATGGAATAAAAATATGCACATCTATATTCCATAATGAGATCTTTTTCTCATGATTAAATGTATGACATATCTTAAATTAGAACAATTGGTAGATAAGGCTTTTTTTAAAAAGGGATTTTAGCAGTAAAAAATAACGTAATTGGAAAAAAAAAACCCTGACCCCCTCATTGATTTTTATCTATCCTGGCTCTTTCTGATGGGACTGGATGAAAAAAATGCCTCTTGAGACACTTCTGGTGCTTTGAGATAAGATGGCAGGAAGTCCCTTCTATGCTCTATGAAGCCTATGGTTTATTGCTAGTGAAATGCCTCTAATTGTGAGAAGCAGCCTATATTGGGAGAGGGTAGACTTGTTTATTTCAGTGGACTCTGCTTGGAACCTGTCAGCATTTGAGGTATAGTATTTCTCAATGTTTTCTAAGACGCTAGTAATTTATGAGTCACAGGGACCTGTTGAAGCAGAGGAAGGCTTGTTCTGTCAACTGTTGACTGATTCTGCAGATTAAAGATTTTTTTAATGCTAGGTTCCACCTGTACATTGATAATAATGAACTCCAGATCATGGCAATGCCTTGCCATATCCTTCTTTTTGGTGGGAACAAACGAGATAGGCACGTCCTTTTCATCAAAACTTTTAGTAACAGAACCATAAGGAGAATCTAGTAACTATTTCAACAGGGCCAACATCCAAAGGAGATTCTCTCCATGAAAGAGACAAACCGCAACATGAATCTTCTGTCTTTAACGAGGGGACGGTCCAAACTTTTATTGATCCGTGGGCTTCCTCAGAAAGCCACTCCTCACCACAAATATAGTCCCACAACATGGATGGCAAGCCCAATCCCCTTCCTGTGGCTTGTGGTTTGGTGTTATGGGTTCCAGTCGGACAGCCTTCCTCCAGGGTCCTTGAACTTTTGGATAAACTAAAACTGTCCATTCTTCCGGATCTAAATCTTCCAGAGGTATTTTTACCTCTTGTCCACTTCTCCCCTTTCCAGCTATCTCCCGTTGTTTATCTCTCATACTCCATCTTTCAGGTATTTTAAACACTCCCGGTCCTGCATCCCCATTGTCCTCTTCCTCCCCAAAAACTACCTTCCTCGCCTCTCCTGTCTTTTCCCTCTCCTCTTTCGTGAGGAAGACATCCACTCTCCTTTTCTCCTTTCCTCCTTTCCTGACTCCTCCTCTCCTTTCACTTTGCCTCTCCTGTCTTTTCCCTCTCCTCTGTCGTGAGGAAGACATCCACTCTCCTTTTCCCCTTTCCTGACTCCTCCTCTCCTTTCACTTCTAAACGTTCCACTCCCTGTGTC